CTGAGAACAGGCACGGGCTAGCTGCCCTTGATGCGGGTGAAAAGAGCTTTGGTTAGCAATCCTTTTAGTGTAGTTTTCACGTTAAGAAGACTTCAGATGGGAAGGAAAACTAATGACAGCTTAACCCGGCCATTATATTGCATGTATCTGCCGAGAGGCGTATACTGGCTGGTATTGACTGTGATCCGGAGAGAGGTTAAACTCCCCGATAATAACACATGATGACTATCGTTCGGAGTTTCCGTGGCAAGTCTTTTGCACCGTTACTTATTTATCGACAGATCCAAAAAGTGTGGATGGTCCGGCACAAGCCTTCACCACTTGAAACAAATCATTGTGTTGGTTTTCTAACAACTACATCTAATTAGTTCCACACATATCCGGCTACAGCGAAAAACTCCACGAAACAACATCAACTTCATCTTGGCACTTGGAATGTAAGAACTCTCCAGGACAACAACTCATCACCAGATAGAAAAACAGCTTTGGTTGCATTGGAGCAAAAGAAGTTCAATATTGATATAGCTGCACTGAGAAGTAACCATCAGTCGACTACATAAAACGAGAAAGCAAAATAAGACATTTAACAGTGTTCCTGCTGCACTTGGATACAATATATTCTTCTGTACTGTTTGTGGTCTTTTGGGCAATTCTCGAGTCGATCTCAAACGTCATGCCCGTTATAGGCATGCAGTTAATTAGTTCGTGGTCGTCGGAACCTCATACGTCGAACACGACGGGAGAGTCCATCATATATATACACACGGTTATTCAAAATTACTAACTAATGTGTAAGTGGGCTTTGTAAACGGCTCGACACGTTGCATGTTTGCAGTTTTGTTTCTGATGGTTGTATTCGTCCGCGGAGGATATTTTGTGGCTCACCACGACGTTTTTGAATTCTTCAGGCGAATAGCTTTTAGCAAACTTTTAGTTAGTTCTAAATATTGTTCTTGTGGTTCTAATATAAATATATACATGGTTAGTCAAAATTATATTAGTATTATATTTGATAAAGTATTTTGCCCATACTGCTGATGCTTATCTAGACCACACAAATCCAGTTTAATGGAAAGGTTGCGGTGGAGCACTGTGTTGGCATCCACAATCCCCTGATTTGACACCCTATGATTTTATGCTTATGTGTAATGATTAAGGAGAGCGTGTATGGCAAGAGGAACCGCGTTATCAATGACGTCAAGTAGACTGTGGTATTAATTCCGTCTCCAAGATTTAAATGCTACCGTTGCTCGCTTTTTTTTTTGTTTCCTATACACAGGCAAACAGTAAGACGAAATATGCGGAGACAATTATGCTATGTATTGACAGGTGATTATATGTTTTGCAGCGGGCGATGTTGCGATGCTAGATTTCTTGTTCAAATAAATCAATGAGAATTTTGTTTCAATTTTGAAAAATTATAAATCCACGAAATTTTATTGTGATAAATATTTATCTGCTAAAGTGAAAGGGACTTAGTATAATCCAATTAGTAGAGTAAAAACGTTTTATTAGTTTTCCATAGAATTTAAGATTCTAATTTTTACTGTGCTGCGGATCTGATGTCGTAAATATATTAGAGTGTACAGCATAAATTTATATGATAAAGAAACAGTTTATACAAAGAATTAAACAGTAACGTTAATGTGATTAATGGCGAAATCACTTTGCTAACAAGACACAATGAGACATTAACTTACTATCAATTCCTTGAGTAATAATACTAATGAGATTTATATAATATATATATTATATATATATATATATAT